TCTATTCTATTCTATTCTATTCTATTCTATTCTATTCTATTCTATTCAGAACAGTTGCAGGATTTGGTATCTCTAGTCTAGAGAAAAGTAGGACCAGAGGTGACATAATAGCAGTGTTGCAATATTTGATGGCCTGCCACAAAGATAGGGGTGGGGGGCAAACTATTTTCCAAAGCACCAGAAGGCAAGAAAGAAACAATGGAGAGAAGCAACCTGGAATTAAGGATAAATTTCCTAACAATGAGGACAATTAACCAATGGAATGGCTTGCCTTCAGAAGTTGTGGCTGCTCTATCACTGCAGGCTTTCAAGAAGAGACTGGACAGCCACTTGTGTGGAATTGTAGATTCTTCTGTTCAAGCAGGGAGTTGGTCTAGAAGACCTCCAAGGTCCCTTCCAACACTGCTATTCCATGTACTATTTTCAGAAAGTGGCAGAAGAGGGATAATGCTGTTGCATTACCTCCACATAATGCCTGGGCTGACCCAAGAACAGTGGTGCCATCCCTGCACCCCTGTGATGATCTGGGCCTCCTTCCTCTGCTTTTGCAGCATTTTTTTATTTTTGGGTTCAGAAGCTGCAGGGAGAATTTTCTCATGGGGAAATCTTTATGGGGGATACAGTCTTTGACAAGCATGTGGGTGGGTGTGGGAGTGTTCAGTCTGCGGGAAGGCTGTGGATGCACATGAAGGTTGTAAAGGAGCCCAGTGCAGTTCTGTGTCTTTTAATGTAATTAGTCCTGCTAGCAAATATGCTCAGAAGCCCCCTGAGTGTTGGAGGTTGGCGAGGGGGCAGAATGGTGGCAAAGAAAGAGCGACTCTTAAATTCCAGAGAAGGGGTCTCTGGTGTTTCAACAGCAAGTCTTTTGAGGTACTGAGATATAAAATATTGTGGCTTACTCTTCTCAGTTGTGTGCATTATCCAATGACCTAATAGCAACACGCATCACACTAAACCCAGGTTAATCTAACATAATTGTTATGTCTACATATCCAGAGAAGCCATATTACAACTCCAGGTGACAGCCTGATTTTCACAACAAGCTAAGCCAAGCCCTTGGCTGGGTTTTAGCGGGCAGGTCTTTGTCCATATCCAGAGGGGTTGGTGAAGCAGCTTGACTCTTTAAAGCTTGCATGGGCGTATTTGGGGGGGGGGGGGGGGGCAAATGAGGTGCCTTAGCCAACTTGTCACAGCCAACTCGCGGCGGCCATCTCGCCGCGGGACAAGAATTACACTAAGGCCGAAGAAATGGTGGGATAGAATCATTAAAGAAAGGAGGGACAAAATGAAATGTAAATCACACACACAAAAATTTTTAAAAAAATCATTTTAAATAATTCAGTTGGATAGTTGAATTGGCCCGTGGTGAGTTGATGTGGCAGTGGTGGGATTCAAAATTTTTTACTACTGGTTCTGTGTGGCTTGGTGGGCGTGGCAGGGGAAGGATATACTGCAAAATCCCCATTTCCTCCCCACCCCACTAACCTGCTTTCCAGCTCTGTTCACCTGTGCAGGGCAACCAAAGGAGACCCAATCAATCAGCTGGGTCTCGATGGGAAGCAGAGAATAGATGTGGGCGGGGGCAGTCAGAGGGGGTATTTGCTGGTTCTTAGAACTACTTAAAATTTCTGCTACTGGTTCTCCAGAACTGGTCAGAACCTGCTGAAGACCCACCTCTGGACTGTGGCAAGTTGTCCCATTCTGTCCTGTAGGGGTGACTTGGGCTCTGTTTCCCTCGAGAGCATCTCTTGGAGACCAGACATTAGAGCAGGGGGTCTCCACACTTGGCCACTTTAAGACTTGTAGACTTCAACTCCCAGAATTCCTCAGTTCAGGAATTCTGGGAGTTGGTCCACACATCTTAAAGTGGCCAAAGTTGGAGATCTCTGCATTAGAGGCTTCAGCTCACCTGCCAGGGCTGTGATTGATAAATGCCCTGAACACCCCCACCCCAGCCATGAAGAAACAGGAAGAGAGAAGCGCCATGTGCTCAGCTGTGTCAGCATAGATCGAAGGGCTGGGCTGGGTGTCGACGCCCCGTGCAGAAAAAACAAACAATAATAATGCCTTCAGGGATGGGATGGATGAGGGGCCATGGAGCTGAATTTGCTGTCAGGCTGTAATGGAACAAACAAAACACCCACCATCGGGGAGTTCAGCCACATCCTGCAGCCGTCTTACAAACTACAATGTCCCCCACGTGGGGCAACACATCAACTCTCGGCACTTCCTGTTGATATTGAAATCAACCCAAGTCTCAAGATTGTTGCCCCAGCTCTGTGCCAGCAGCCGAGCTCCTCTTATCTCCCTTTGCTAGCCTTGAGGGTGGCCAGATCAGCATGTAGGCCGGGCTCCTGGAGGCTGGACACTCCTGGTGTCCAGGAGAAGAAAAGACATGCCGTAGAACATAGAATTACAGAGTTGGAAGGGACCTCAGAGGTCTTCTAGTCTTGCTCGAGCAGAAGATCCTATATCTTTTCGAGAAATAGTGGTCCAGTCTCTTTTTGAAAGCTCCAGTGATGGAGCATGTTCCACTGGTTGATTGTTCTCACCGTTAGGAAGTTTCTCCTTAGTTCTGGATTGCTTCCCTCCTTAATTAGTTCCTTCTTGTCTTGCCTTTTGGCCCTTTGGAAAATAGTTTGGACCCCTCCTCTTTGTAGGAGCAAGCCTCAAATGTTGGAACATTTGCTACCATGTTCTCCCAGTCCTTCTTTTCGTTAGACTAGACTTACCCAATTCCTGTAACCATTCTTCGCATGTTCTTCGCATGTTCTTCTCAGGCTTCTGAGCTTCTCTAAGAGCTGCTTTGGGTTATGTGCCTTTGTGAGAGCAGCAGCCAAGATGTTGAGACCCTAGAAGGATGAGAATAGCAGCCAGGAGGATGAGGGGACGAGGCTAAAACATAGTGAATGGTTTCAGGAACTGGGCATGGCTGGTCCAGAGAAGAGAAGGACCAGGGGAGACAGGATAGCAGCCTTCCAATATTTGAGGGGCCACCACAGAGAGGAGGGGGGGTCAAGCTAATTTCCAAGGCATGAAGGCAAGGAATAATGGATGGAAAAAGAACAAGGAGAGATTCAACCTGGAAATAAGGAGGAATTTTCTGACAGTGAGAGCAATCAGCCAATGGAACAGAAGTTGCCCTCGGAAGTTCTGGGAGCTTCATCCCTGGAAGCTTTGAAGAAGAGACTGGACTGCCGTCTGTCAGGAATGGTGTAGGACAGTGATGGCTAACCTATGACACATGTGTCACTCGTGACACGTCGAGGCACTTTGACTGACACGCCTGTTGGTGTGGGAAAAACCTGCACATTTAGAGGCTGCCTGTGCTCTGCTCCAATCCCTGCTCCCTGCTTGTTGCATGGAGGCGTGGTGTCACCGCTGCCGCAAGATCTTTGCATCAGAGAACCAGTTTTAACCGCCATAAACTGAGGTTTGTCAGTTTCATTACCTCAGGAACGCTACAGGAGAAAAGGAGATCCATGAGGTTCACAGCCCTGTAAGGTGGCCTTCCGATCCCCACATCCTGCACCTGCAGCCCTGAGACCAGGGAGACGAGTTTCACAGCCCTGTGTGATCACCCCAGCCCAGTCCGTCATAAACCAAATTATTGATATTTCTTGAAGTGACACACGACCCGAGGAAGGCTACACTTTTTCCCGATTTTCGACACACCAAGCTGAAAAGGTTAGCTATCACTGGTGTAGGATCTCCTGCTTGGGCAGGGGGTTGGACTAGATGACCTACAAGGTCCCTTCCAACTCTGCACATCTGTTAACCCCCTGCCCCTTCCCTAACCCAGGTCTTTTCTCATGTTCCCAGGATCTTCATCCCCAGGAAACACCGGCAGCGCTTTGATGAGGTGGTGTCCCAGAGTCTCATCAGCAAGCTGTGCCGAGCCAAGAGGCAACAGCCGGCCAACCGCCTGAGACGAAGCCGCAGCGAAGACCATCACGAGCGACTGCTGGTCTCCACCCGGGCCAGCTCGGTGCCCCGGAGCCAGGAGGAGAATTTCCTGAGCTTGAGAAAGTCCACCACCCTGATTGGCAGCAATGTGGGGACGGGGGCAGCTTGCAGGTAAGGACCTACGCAGACCCCCTCTCGAAGATGCAGGTTCTCGAGCAGAACCTGTCCATCATCAGAAGACCTAAAGAGCTCGGGCAGAGCTTGTTTTTAGGCCATTTTGGAAAGGAGAGGAGAAGAAAGTTTACTGATATATTTATGCATCGTCTACGGAGACCTTATATGTGCTTGGGATATTGTAAGGAGGGGCAGACTAGGAAAGCTTCACCTGAAGATTTGGACGTGAAGTGGATTACTGCATATGAAAAGGATTAGGGGTGGGACTCTAGTGGTTTGGCCTGGTTCAGGCGAACTGGTAGCTCCGAGGATCAGCTGCTGGGCCTGCCCGCTTGCCTCAGTTCTAGTCTGTGCTTTATATCCTGGTTTTCAAGCTCACCTGATTCGCACGGCACAGCGGATTGCCGCACGTCATTGCTGGAGAAGGTCAGCTCTACACGTGCGCTCACCAAACTGGTTGTTACACTGGTTGAATCACATCCCTGATTATTAGGTTTTTTTTTGTTTTAATGACTGATAGAGAAGTGATCCGTGTAACATGCCAGTCCAAGACAGAATTGCAAAGATTCTCGGTTTGAAAGGACTTTTATATGTAAAATAGTGTTTCAAGATTGACTCGGCCTTCCATCCTTCCGAGGTGGGTCAAATGAGGATCCAGATTGTTGGGGGCAAGAGGCTGACTCTGTAAACCACTCAGAGAGGGCTGTAAAGCACTGGGAAGCAGGATATAAGTCTAAATGCTATTGCTGTTGCTGTTGCTATTGCTATTCCTTTTCCCTTCGCTTTGCTTCGCTTCGCTTCCCTTCCCTTCCCTTCCCTTCCCTTTCCTTTCCTTTCCTTCCCTTCCCTTTCCTTTCCTTCCCTTCCCTTCCCTTTCCCTTCCTTTCCTTTCCTTTCTTTTCTTTTCCTTCTTTCCTCTCCTCTCCTCTCCTTTCCTTTCCCTTCCTTCCATGGTGGCTGTTGAGGTATTCCTCATTAGGAGAATGAGTGCACTCAGGGAAACATAGTGAGAGTGATGTTGAATAACACACAACCAGTATACAGATACACTGAATAGTAAAATGTAGGTTTTACTTCCAGTAAACGGGTAAACAAAGTCCAACAAACAGTCCAAATCATACACAATTAAAGCAGTTACTATCAGTCCAGGGATAATCCAAAAACAAAGTCCAGTATCATAAACAAAGTTCAGTAAACAGAGTTTGCTAACAGTTGCAAGACTCACAACAATCCAAGCAGAACGATGATCAGGCAAAATGGGAAAACAGGAAATGCAAGAAGAGAGAAACCAGGTTTCTGGCTCCATCTTATGGCCATTGGAGGAACCTCAGCCAATCACAATTACAGCATTCTCTTAAAGATACAGTATTAAATTACTATCCCGGTTTATATATTTCCAACCCAACTGTTAGGTGACTATCATTCCTAACAGTGACACAGTGGTTTTAAAGGGCAATATTGCAGGCTGACTCTACCGACAGCCAGGAGTTCAATCCTGACCAGCTCAAGATTGACTCGGCCTTCCATCCTTCTGAGGTGGTTAAAAGAGGACCCAGATTGTTAGGGGCAAGAGGCTGATTCTGTAAACCACTTAGAGAGGACTGTAAAGCACTGTGAAGTGGTATATAAGTCTAAATGCTATTGCTAGTCTCAACCTTGGCCATTTTACAATGGGTGGACTTCAAGTCCCAGAATTCCCCAGCCCAGCCATGCTGGCTGGGGAATTCTGGGACTTGAAATCCACCCTTCTGAAAGATGAGAGAAGGGAGAGAACGTCCTGCTCTGCTCCTTTTTGCATTCCCTGTCTAATGTAAGGGCTACTATGTGCTCTCCTTCCCCAGAACCGTCCGTGTCTACAAGGGCAGTAGAAGCTTCGGGTTTACGTTACGTGGCCATGCCCCTGTGTGGATCGAGTCCATCTTGCCTGGTAAGAGGAACCCACTTTTGTTGCTGAAGAATTTCATTTCCTGGGCAAACCTGGCAAGGTTGCCCAAACCTCACTTGGAGTCCAGATATTTTAGAAACACCTTTGTGTTCTTCACCAATTGTGAATTCTTCACCAAATGGACTTCTTGACTTCTCCTTTTCTTTTCTCAATTTATTTGCAGCTTATTCGCATGCTCAAAAATTTTTTGTTTCGCCCTTTTAACTTTTTGTGCCATTTCTTCCTGTACTATCAAATTCAGTCTATGTCTTATACATTCCATTTTCTTTTTAACTTTACCTTTTTGAGGGTCATTCTGTAATTCTACTTCCAGTTCCTTAAGTTCCTCCTGTAGAACTTTTTGTTAATATTTTTTCCTATTTTTTCTTGCCACATATGCTATTGTCAATCCTCGGATGTACGCCTTTGCTGTGTCCCACAACATTTGTGTTGTTATTCCTTCTTTCCTATTTTTTTTTTTGAAGAAGTCCAACTCCCTCTCCATCATTTGTACATATTCTTTTTCTTTCATTATTGCTTGGTTCTCTGTCCATCTTCCTCTTCTCTTCTGTCCTCTCCATATCACTTTTATTGGATTATGATCAGCTTGGGGGTTGGTCATTATTTCTACTTCCTCTATATCATTTCTCAATCCCGATGTCATCCATGCCATATCAATTCTTGACCATGAACAATGTGCATTTGAGTAAAAGGTATACTGCCTACTTTTTTCATTTCGTTCCCTCCTTAGGTTTTGTAAGTTTAATTCTTTCATCTCAAAAAATGTGCTTAGAAGTATTCTCTTAATTTTATCATTTTTACTACTTTTATAGTCCCTTTTTCCTCCACCCCTGCATTGAAATCACCTATTAAGCACACATTTTCATATTCCGTCTCAATTATTTTTTCGTGTAATTTCCTATACAATTCTTTCTGATTATTGTTTGGTGCATATATTACAGTAAGCAAGATTTGTTTTAAATGTATTATTATTTCCATCATCAATACGCTTCTGTCTCCATCTGTGTATGTTTGTTTTGCCTTTATCCTTTCCTTAATATATATAGCAATTCCCCTTTTCTTCTGATGAATGAACATATCTGCTTACATGGTGATGGCTGTGACCTTGACTTTTTTGCCTCTGGGTGCTCCTAATCTACCAGCCTCTGCAAAGGAAATGCAACCAGAGCAGGGGAATGGATGCAACCAGAACAAAAATAAAATGTGGTTCAATTCTATGTTAATTTTATCCAAGTGAAAACTTGTTTGTTTTAATTAAGTTTAAGTAATTCCATTATGATCTTCTAAGAATTTCATCCTTTTCCTGCTCTATATAAATAAAACTACGCTACCTACCGTGACCATTTTTGGTAGCTACAGGTGGCTTCTTGTAGAAAGTTAGTACCCACCCCTCTCCTAGAAGAATGAAATATTTTGAGAAATATTTAAAAAGGCAGAATATTATGTTTCCCTGGATGAGAAGTGGAGAAACATGCTCCTGGAAAGCAGACACCACCTTCCTTAATAGCCCTAAACAGATGTCAGTACTTAAGAGATAAAGAGATAGATAGCTCTATTCATAAACAAATACTCTCACCTAAGACCCAACAAAGGTAGGATTAGCCCTCAGCCACAATAAGAATTGCCCAATGCCCCTTCATTGCATCACCCTCACCTTCAACCAAATATCTAGGATTTGTACTTTACCTATAGAGTCAGCTATGACCCCTACATGACCTCATGGGAGTCTGACAACAGCCAGTAAAATATATGTTCTTGCACAGGAACAGGAAGCTCAAATTCAAAGCCCAAAGAGAAGGTATAAATACCCCCCCCCCACACACAACTCCATGTGGTGGGCTACCCAGAATCACACCTGCTTTTGTTCATCGTTAAATCCTCTTTCCAATCAGCCTCCATGTTTCCAGTGTCTTTCTCCCAGCTTGGAAATGGACCTGGATATTTCTTCCAACACTATGCATGGGATACAGATTTTGACTTCAGAAGAACATGTGTCACAGATTAAGCTGGATTCTTCTAGATGTTTCTGTTACCTCAGAAAGTTACAAAATGGAGTCTGGCTTCTAAGGATGCGCCTTTTTTTTTTTTTGCAGAATGAGGGATAATGAGAAGTAAAGATGTCTTGTATGGTCAAACACCATCAAATCATTTTCCAAACAATGAAAGATTTGTGTTTGGTCACCAGATGGAGCTCAGTACAGAGTCTGGTTTGATAGCTAATGAGGGCGCCCCTTCCAGGATCTTGTGATTCTAGGCAAAAAAGATGGTTGCTGGAATTGCCTAAATTCTTGGGAGTGGAGCCAAAAGGAGAGATGTGCCTTTGTGACCCCGGCAGATTCTGCAAATAGAGCAACTGTTGGAGTCCTCCAAGGGTGGTGGGTTTCTTTGATTGTTTGTTTGTTTTGTCTTTCCAAGGGAGTCCAGCTGACAAAGCGTCCCTGAAAGCTGGCGACAGAATCTTGTTCTTGAATGGCCTGGATATGAGGTGAATTAGCAGCTTCTTTGCTTTTTCTCCACCATTATCTCTGGAGTTTGATCACTGGTGGGATTCAATTTTTTTTTTTACTACTGGTTCTGTGGATGTGGCTTGGTGGGCGTGGCAGGGGAAAGTTACCACAAAATACTCTACCTGACTCTGTGGTTTCTTCCCCAAATCCCAAAAACTTTAACCTTAGTCTGTCTACTATTGACCTCACCCCTTTCCTAAGAGGTCTGTAGGGGCCGTGCATAAGCGCACCAACGTGCCTCCCATCCCTGTCCTATTGTTTCTTTTTATTTTTCTTATATATACCCATTTCATGTATTCATAACTATGTATATACTTATACCTATTATCTTGTAAGCGATTGACAAATCAAATAAATAAATAAATAAATAAATAAAAATAAAAATAAATAAAATAAAATCCCCATTCCCTCCCCAACCCACTAACCTACTTTTCAGCTCCATTCTCCTGTGCAGGGCAATCAAAGAAGATCCAGTCAATCAACAGGGATTCAATGGGAGGCGGAGAAGAGATGGGGGCGAGGCCAGTCAGAGGTGGGATTGGCCAGTTCTCCAAACTACGCAAAATTTCCATTACCGGTTCTCCAGAACTGGTCAGAACCGGCTGAATCCCACCTCTGGGTTTGATGTCCTTCTGAGCCTGAGCTGCTTTTCAACTCTCATCAATGGCTCCCCTGTCTGGGGAACCCACTGGGGTTCTTGCAGGCCCTCTTGGTGCTGCTTCTCTCCTTGATGGATCCTCTCTTCTGTTCTGTTCTTTTTTGCAGGAACTGTTCCCATGAGAAGGTGGTCTCCATGCTCCAAGGCAGTGGGGCAATGCCCACCCTTGTGGTTGAAGAAGGCATTGTTAGCTTTTCTAGTGGTAAGCAAAGGCCTGGTCGTAATCTTGGAAGGTTAGCCTGCTGTCTTCATCTTTATAAGAGCCAGTCATAAGTCCCTTTTTTTCAGTCCCGTTGTAACTTTGAATGGTCACTAAGCTAACTGTCATAAGCCAAGAACTACCTGGAGCAAGTAAGGTTCCCTTTGCAATGTCTTAAGGATCAATCCACCCAAAATCAAAGAAAGACTTATTCTGATTTAAAAATCAGATCATACCAATAGGCTCCGGAGATTTAAGTGCCAGCTTGATTTGTTGGAATCTGTTTTGTCTTCTGTTTCAAAAGAGACTTACTTCTTGTGCCTAGATGGCGAGTCCTCGGAAGCCCCCAGCTCCTCCTCAGCCCTCACCTCCTTGCAGTGGATCGCTGAGATCCTGCCTTCCAGCATCAAGATCCAAGGAAGGACCTTCCACCAACAGCTGGAACATCTGCTCACACCAGCAGAGCGCTACACAGTCTGCAAAGGCCTGGAGAGCTTCTTCCAGCACAGGTAAGGGGATGGCGGACTCCATCCGTCTGTCCAAGGGAAAGATTCTCCAGGACCAATCAGCTCCCTGGTGCTCCTTCTTGCTCGGGCTCTGCGTTTGGACCTAGCCCCACACAGCTTTGGGGAGAAATTGTGGGGCTGGCGGTTCAGGGCAGGAGCCCAGAGCTGGTGGTGGGTCTCCATCCACAGCAGAATGTCTGAGTTGGCTTCAGCAAAGATTTCCTCTGGCATGGAGATAGAGTGAAAAGATTGCCCTAAGCCTTCAGTTTCAAAGATTGAGGCAACAGCAAAGGTATAACGTCATGTGGGAATGGCCTTGGGGGATAGAAAGAAGAGCCGCAGTTGAGAATGTCATGCAAAACAGTGGAGGAAATCTGAGAGCTGCTTTTACACATCTTGCTAGGCTGTTGAGGTAGTCCGGACAAGACGGGCTAGCCCTGTTTTTATTGGGACAGCGTAGAGTAGAGTAGAGTAGAGTAGAGTAGAGTAGAGTAGAGTAGAGTAGAGTAGAGTAGAGTAGAAGAGGAGAGGAGAGGAGAGGAGAGGAGAGGAGAGGAGAGGAGAGGAG